TTTTGTCTGAAGATGGTAACAACGCTGTTACCGAAACGTCACACACTATTTATTTATTTGGATTTGGTCTTATTAACTTGTGTTTATAATCTACAATCCAAATTGTGCCTCATCAATAAACCATATTGTTGAGACAGAGGCAGGGATGTAGGTCTCAGAGGGTTATTATGGAGAGTGATTTATCTTGGTGGGCCATGGTCACTAGGAGCTGATCCATAGGGATTGTTGGGTTTTGTCGGGCCGGTTGTAGGGGGTTGTTGCTGCTGTAGTATAACATGTTACATAATTTTCTGTCAAGGTGTATTCCGATCGAAGGGCAAAAGATGACTCACTCATTTTCTCTAGCATGTTGCTGTGAAAACGATGGTCAATGGTCAAATACAACTCTACCCGTCATCTCTGCGGTGCCATTTCTGAGATAACGGAAATAAATAATTGTAAAAGAATAAAATAAATAAAAGATAAAAATAGATGATTAAAAAATAATCATAATTTCTAATTTATGATAACAACAATTTCCTGTTACAGACACCATCTGGTCAGCTGCTTGTTGACACACAGCCATATCTATGAGAAAATAATAAACGAAATGGATGGTTAAGCTGTAAAAGGACTACAAAGCCATTTCATCTGATCTTTTAAATGACATCGATGCTTTGCCATTTGAAATACTCATTTGAGTGAGCCAATATTTTTTGTTCAGTCATTTATATGTGATACAGTAGAGGACACTCTTGCTAGAGGACACCTCTCTACAAAGGACAGCTTTTATTGTCAAAATATCCTTTTTACTAATTATAAACTCCTTAAAAGACATTTTGGCTCTTAAACTAGGTGTTGTCCTTTACAGAAAGGTGTTCTACTGTATTGAAAAGTTTGACAAAATTAAAACTTGAAAAGAATAACACATGACTTAACATGTATTCATTTTTTTACCTTTCAATATTTAAGCAAAACTACTAATAGTGTTTTTATGCCTTAATTGAGATATTTCTTTAAAATATCCAGCAGTGTTCATATGGTTGAAATGGGAGATACCTCCTCAGGTATACAATGTACAAAGTTAAAGCTTGCTTCTCTTCAGTTTTCACAGTTCTACTCCCATCTATTGACCACTTGTTTGTCAATATGGCCAAACATTGGTGCTACAGTAGAACCTCTATCTAAAGGACAAAACTTAGTTTCAGAGCAAAAAGTTCCCTTTAGAGAGAGGTGTCCTTACCAGAGAGTTGTTAAATAGTAAAAAATGATCATTTTGTTGATGAAAACTTTTTTTGTAAAGAGGTGTCCTCTCATGGAGGTTCTACTGTTCTGGCAGTCATTCTTAGAACACCTTCTAAAACATCAAGCAATGCCATCCTATAGTGAGTGTGTTGTCTTATTTCATTGATTAGATCTGTCTCCCCAACTCTCTTTATTCCAGTTGTGTCTGTCCATCTGAACTTTTCCATCCACTTTCTCATCAACTCCAATCTTCAGAGATACACTCACGAACATAACTTAAGGAAGTTGTACCTTTAAGCATGTAAATCGGGATTCAGACAATAACTCTGAAAGATGTTTGATATACAGTGACCTTTATTGAAGACACACGAGACAACCAAGTGTGAACAAAATTGCCTCTGTATCCTTAAAAAAAATAGAATTATGGTGACATCAAAGACTTTAAACTTCCTTAAGTTTTGTCCATGAGTGTAGATGTTTTTTCTATTTAATACCCAAACAGGGAGAAATGAGTCCAATGTGCTGCAGTGTCGGACCAAAGTAAGCCCCAACCTTCCAAATCTCCACCCCAAGTCCTCAAGACCTCAGGACTTCTGGATCCCAATTCTGAGAAGTTCCAACGGCTCCTTAAGAAGAAATCTTCACATGCCAATGAGGTGGAAGATGTAAGTTGAGAGATGTGAAACATTTTCTGCCGGCACCTGAACTAATAATGTGTATTGTGGATTCCTAAAATGTAATACTTTCTAACTTGGATCTTTGCTGTTGTCCCTTATCCCTAGTGCACAGAAGCCATGATAACCCTTGTGTAGAACAGCTTAACTTTTGCACTTACAAGGTACTAGAATCCTATTTTCTCTCTCTTACTTGCATTCACTGATGGGTTTGGTCTTGTGCATGAATCAATAAAGTAGAACCTCTCTGTAGCAGACACCTAGTTGCAGAACCAAAATGCCCATTAGGGAGAGGTGTCTTTTTACCAGAAAAAGTTTCAGATTAGTAAAAATATAATAAACTTGCCTCTGAAAACTTATTTTTTGTTAGATAGATGTCTTCTAATGAGAGTGTCCTCTCTTATGGAGGGGCTCTACTATGTAATGTAATCAGCAGAGAAGTAAATGGAAGCAATACTATATCTCTCTGATGAAGTAAAGAGTGTAACACATTATATCAAACTTAGTAGTTCTTCCATTTAGTATTCTTGTCTGATGATCACATTACAGGTACTGGAACCCCTTGTATACTTTACTTATTTGGTCTTTTTACCTGTAGTCTTTATGGAGCAGCACATTACAGGTAAAGTCAGACTTTCACCAAAGTGTGCCTGAATCATAATGTGCCATAATCAACGAAAGCTGCACCCCTACACCCCATTCCATTGGAATTTGTGTAATCTTTACACAAGTGGATAAGAAACAACAACAGGGGGCTGCACTGTGGTGCTCTGTCATTTTTAGACAACCAGGACCCGACTTGATACCTGCTTTAAGGCAATTTTTCAAATAATTGTTTGATCCACATATTGTAAAATTTGGGCTAGTGTAGACATGTGATGCACTTGGAGTATAAATAGTTATAAACCCTTACCATGGAGTGTACTTGAGATAAATAACAAGAGAGCACTGGAATATGATGTCAGGGCTTGTGACCCAACTTTGTTATAAAGAAATGCCATGGTGTCCATGAAGAATGTATGTGTGTGGGCAGTTCCATCAGGAGAAGGAGGAGCGGTACTTTGACCACCTGGAGAAGAAAGAGAGGATGGAGGAGAAGATGTTGTCAGTGACAGAGATCAAGTGTTCTGTGGTGTCCTGTCATCAGGTGATTGCTAGCTCCACCTTGGTGGTGTTCTTTGTTTGTTTGTCTGGTTGGATGGGAATCACAATTTGTCACATCATGCCAGGGGAGAGTTGATAGCAGAGATAAATGGATGAAAATTTGCCAAACAGTTGTGCTGCTTGTAGCAATAACAATTCCTTTCTCCTGCATGCACTATTTGCTTTATGCGAGCTCTCCAGTCTATTATGAAGACTTGTAGGTGCTGCAATTGGTCCTACAATTGAATTACACAATGGTTGCTATGGTGGTCCTACAATTAAATCACAAAATGGTTTTTATGTAGATTCTATTCCTTTCTCAAATAGATATACTTTTATTATCATTATTTTTTATTGAAATACATTGAATATATTTTATGTGACCATTTGCCTTTAATACAGTTGAACTTTCCTGTAAAGGACGTTTTTAGTTGCATGTCTGATGTGTCCTTTAGAGAGAGAGAGAGGTGACCTCTTTAATTGGAGAGTTGCTAATTAGAAAAAAATGATCATTTTGACAATGAAATTTGTCCTTTGTAGAAAGGTATCTTCATATGGAGGTTCTACTGTATATTTTAGTACAACTGCTTTGCTAGTTTCATTTTTTAAAGAGAAATTCGCATTACTCTTCAATGTATGTTAGTAAAAGGTAATTGAATTGTCTGGTACATGCTTAGGTTAGGTACACTAGATACTGTGTATTATAATGCCAGTGTAGATACTTGTAGTGTGAGACTGTAAAATGTGTCAGTGCCGCTACACTTCCCACCACCCTGCAGAGAGATGCCAGAAGGAGAACCACCCTCTCAAGTACCACAAGGCCATGAAGAGGTTCTTCCAGTGCAAGTCTTGCAAGAACAGGACCTGGTGTTTCAGCAAGGTGCCCAGCAAGCCTTGCCAGTAAGTCCCCCCACCTTGTGGAATACATTATGTGTATCATTTATTCCCCTACAAGTCCTTTCCAGACCATTTTAAGAATTTAAAAAATCTGTATTATAAATTACCTATATTTAAAGGCATTTAATTTAAGCCTGAAACTTGCGGAATTTTAGGCTCAATTACAAGGCTTTATGCTCAATTCTCAAAAACTTTTGAGAGCCTAAAAAAGATTTCTCCAACTTACAAATAAGATGATCCACAAACAAGAAACAAAATTTCGCCACTTAAAAAATTATTTAAATTGGAAATTTTTATAAAAAATATTCTGATAAGGTACAATTTGGATAATAGATTATAAACACAAGGTAATAAGACCAAATCCAAATAAATAATCCAATATCCTATAAATAGTACTGTTACCGAAACGTCACACACTATTTATTTGGATTTGGTCTTATTACCTTGTGTTTAAAAAATATTCTGCTTATATGGGTGTCAAAGGTTGTAAATTTGAGACACCTGTGTCCACACGGTGGGGCTATGGACAAAAGACTGAATAGAGCTCCATGAAGGTGATGCTAGGTGACATCTGCCATTGATATACAGAATCTGAATCACATGCTGCGGCAGTCTAGTTCCAAACATGGAGAACCTTTGCTGCCTTACTGGTGGCTCAGAATTTTGCCTGGAGGTGTTTGTGGTCTAGCCCCACCTCACTGTTGAGGATTGAGCTGATGGTCTTTGACCTCTTCTAATCTAGTCGGGATTCAAGTCATATGGGTATAGTGATAGGGTACAATCTGGATTATAGATACAAGATGACAACTAAGTTTTTTTTTGCTTATCCCCTAGTACACGTGGTACAGGTCATGATAATCATGGTGGGTAGAAGTAGGTGACTGCTTTTACTGTAAGTGCACCACATGTCTACACATGTGAAAAGCAGTTCGACTTTGCACTTACAAATGTGCCAGAGCCCCGTTTGCACTGGGGGTTTGCACTTGCACTCGCTGGTGGGGTTGGAATTTTTCAAGAATCGGGGGGGGGGGGGGCATTGGAGCATTTTTAATCAGAAAAAAGTGCCCAATGCGGGAATTGAACCCAGGTCGTAGTGGTCGGAAACCAACAGTTTAGACCATCCTTCCACCGACCTCCTAGACTAACTAAGTAATTTATTTGTGACATTTTTGTAAGAACCATGGTACCATCTTTAGACAAGAGCCATTCTATCATATGATAGTAGCAATGCTTTACAGAGAAACATCTCTATAAATTTGGGCTGTTGTTTTTCTTATCCCCTTGTGTAAAGATTACATGGATTCCATGAGCTAATGCTCCTCGAGCTGTTTTATGATAAGCAGTGGCTTCTCCCAAAGATCCTGTTTTGCTCTTTGTTACCATATGCTACTAAGTGTATAACAACAGGAACCAAGTTATTTTAAATGCAAGTTTTCTACTAAAGTCAGGTTTGACCATATATTTTGGCTATAAACAACAAACCTATCATTACTTTATTACACTCTAGCTATTGCAGCAATTATCAGTTTAACCAAAGCCCACCGGGGAGTGACGAGGGTCATTAGCCTGAAACCATTGTCTCCAGGTGGGCTCCTCTCAGTTTGCCAGTGTTGTGACTTTGGCACTGACCCTAGGCCGCTAGTTTCCTGCCATAAATGGTATCAGGTTTTGAAAGGAGAGAGGTGACCTTTATTTTTATTTATTTAACCAAAGGTCTGTGTGTGTTTAGGAACTGTGGAACCCATGACTATGAACGAACCACCATGGGAAAGGTAAGTTGTGTTGTCTTCTCCCTTCTATATATCATATTAGGGTTAAATCCTGCTGTCTTCAACTTCTTGGATAAAAGAAACATTTGATTTTTCACAGAATGGTGTGTCTTACAGGGATGTAACTACACTGTGGTTTATCTAGGCTATACCCCAACATCCCACTTATCTAACTTAGTTATTGACTCTGCACCTTGGATCACAATCCTAGCTGAAACCTTTAAATTGGCACCTGCTATTGTTTTTTTTTTAATTATCCCTAGTACACGTGGTACAGGCCATGATAATCATGGTGGGTATTTAGCGACTGCTTTTACTGTAAGTGCACCACATGTCTACACACATGAAAAGCAGTTTGACTTTGCACTTACTAATGTGTCAGATCCCTGACCTGTTATTGTAATAGAATTATATAACATTCTTACAATAATATAATCCCTTGTATAATATCGCTTTAGAGAAAAAATTCCATCCAGGAAAAAAGTTTCTTGCAAAAAAATATAAATTCAATTGACTCGAGCTTTTAGGCCTTGAAGCCCTATTTAACCTACTCCTGTAGAAGGGCTCCAGGGCCGGAAACTCGAGTCAATTAAATTAAATTTTTTGCAAGAAACTCTTCCCTGGATGGAATTTTTTCTCTGAACTTATATATCATTCTGTTTTTGTAATTTCTCTCAAGTATATAGATGATACACACAGGCCATGATAATCATGATGGGAGGGTTTTCAATAGCTTATGCTGTGGGTACACCACATGTCTATACAAATGTAGAATCAGTTAATCACTTGTAAGGTACCAGAAGCCCAGTTGTACTCACTGGTGGGAGTACTGAACCTGAGTTGTGGGTACAGTGAGGTATTTAGTAATATAGTGAACTTTGGGGTAACAACATCACTTGTGAGGCTATATGTTGTGTTATAACCATGGTTAAAACAAGGTTCCACTGTCATTGTAGAGTTCTCCTTCTATTTCTTACTCCATTAGGAGCCATTATTGTTGGAAACCTAGGTTTCCAGATTTTTTTTGCCCACATTGGAGCCGCATAGACTAAAACTACAAGAATCATGGAGTCCATCAATTTCATACTTGTGTGAAAAGAATTTATCTTGAATTTTAAAAGGATCTCACCTATTGCACCCATAGCCGCCATGACCTTACCTGAAACCTAGGTTTCAAGCCTAGGTTTATTTCTGAAAAATACCAGTCCCAAGATTGGTTCTCCTCCAAGGTTATTAATCCACAGTTTTCCAATTGTGCTTTGGTTTCTCCCTCCAATTGCTCTACAAATGTTGTATGAGGGCATCCTCTTGACACAAGGGATTTTTCATTGCATCCATCTGTCTTTTGAGCATCTGCTAACATAACTTAGTAAATGACCCAAGAATTAGTTTGCCAAAGGTGTTAAAAAGTGTTGGAGAAATTAAACATCCCTGTCTCTCGCCTCTTTGTATTGTTGTCTGTTCATATAACTTACCATTAACATGGGGGTCGGTGGAAGGCTGGTTAAACCGTTTGATTTTCGACCACTATGACCCGGGTTCGATTCCCGCATTGGACAATTTTTTCTGTTTAAAAAAAAAAATGTTCCAATGGCCCCCGATTCTTGCAAAAGTCCAACCCCACCAGCGAGTGCAAGTAACCAAACGGGGCTCTGGCACATTTGTAAGTGCAAAGTCTAACTGCTTTTCACATGTGTAGACATGTGGTGCGCTTACAGTAAAAGCAGTTGCTAACTACCCACCATGATTATCATGGCCTGTACCACGTGTACTAGGGATAAGCAAAAAAAAACCATTAACATGCATGTTAGCCATTTATTATTTATAATACTTATTGCTTTTGTGGGAAAAATAATGTGGTTTCCTCTTGCTGTCAGTATCCATATGACCTAATAGTAGGTTCATCTGTCTTTAGTAGCTGTTTCCAACTTAAGGGCCAATGGGTATTATCCTCCCTAAGTTGGCCAACTCTATGCAGAGGTTTAAAGGTCTTTACTCACATCATCACAAGTGTTATTTGCATATGTTTATATCCCCTTGTTGACTCTTAAATTGCTTGAGAGCTAACAAGTCCATCTAATTGTTGCAGGCCAAGTCAGGTCCCAAGATTGCTGGCGAGACCCTCTTGATCCGAGGAGAGGAACTCAAGTTCATCAACAGCTAGCATTGTTCTGACATTTTATGTCCCTCTAGTATAAAGTAATAAGATTCAATCTAAATAAATAATAAGACCGAATAAATAGTGTGTGACGTTTCAATTAAAGTGTCGTTACTGAATCGTCACACACTATTTATTTGAATTTGGTCTTAATACCATGTAGTTCTAATCTATAATCCAAATTGTGCCTTATCTTGTCTCTCTAGTAAAACTTTATTTATTGTCTTTGTTATATATACTATTGATAGATTTTATATGTGTGTAAATTATATCAATAATGTAAATAATAAAAGAAAATAAGACCTAATCCAAATAATTTATTAGTGTGTGACGTTTCGGCAACAACATTGTCACCATCATCAGACAAAAGAATAAATGAGAAAAACCAATTAATTTATTCTTTTGTCTGATGATGGTGACAATGTTGTTGCCGAAACGTCACACACTAATAAATTATTTGGATTAGGTCTTATTTTCTTTTATTATAATCTATAATCCAAATTGTGATTTATCATCAATAATGTAAATGAATCTGTAAATATATTCTTTTAAAAAACTTTTTCTTATTTATTGTCTCTCTATATTGTTATATTTTGTATTATAAATAAACTATTTTTTTATATAATAGAGTCTCTGATTATACATTCTGCGAGTCCAGTAACATACATAGAATAAATGGTTCTTGGTGTTTTTCTATGTAGAATAGGAAGAAAATGTTGAACTTTCTTCAGGAACTATTCTGGGGCCTTTTTTTTTATTATCCCTAGTACATGTGGTACAGGCCATGATAATCATGATGGGTAGAAGAAGGCGACTGCTTTTACTGTAAGTGTACCACATGTCTACACATGTGAAAAGCAATTTGACTTTTGCACTTACAAATGTGCCAGAGCCCCTTTTGGTTTCTGGAGCCTCTGTCAGTGTAATGAAGTCCTCTGCCTAAATGAACCATTAAGTATATACAAGTTTTTCCCTTGATAAACAAGTAATGGGTGCATCAATATGCTCTAAAATACATTCACATTGTGTTTTAAGCTTTCATTCTATATTGTTTAACTTGATCATTCAGTAAAGTTTCTAGGGGGGGTCGGTGGAAGGCTGGTTGAACCGTTTGGTTTTCGACCACTACGACCCGGGTTCAATTCCCGCATTGGACACTTTTTTCTGTTAAAAAAAAAAAAATGCTTCAATGGCCCCCGATTCTTGCAAAAGTCCAACCCCACCAGCGAGTGCAAGTAACCAAACGGGGCTCTGGCACATTTGTTGTAAGTGCTAAGTCGAACTGCTTTTCACATGTGTAGACATGTGGTGCGCTTACAGTAAAAGCAGTCGCTAACTACCCACCATGATTATCATGGCCTGTACCACGTGTACTAGGGATAAGCAAAAAAAAAAAAAGTAGAAGTTTCTCTGTTTTATTTCTCTTCTAAGTTTGCTGGTTTCACTTTTTTTTATATCCATTGAATTTGGGTGAAGGCTTGTCTAAGGCCTTATAAATGAGACACCAATAATTTAGACACAGTATCTGGTTGTATAATCCCATATGTAAAAATCAACATGTACCATTTACTATGCTAACTCTCAAATAAACACCTTTCAGAACTGGGTCAAGCATTGCAAGGAAAGTTTCACAAAAGGCTTCATGATCGTTGCAGGTTTCTGCTACTATAGGAAGCTTCCAATAAAGAAGGTGGACCCAAATATCAAGATAAATTTGCAAATCTACCAACGACTTGTCTTAGACCCATTATTAGACAATGAGATCCCATTTTTATATCCAAGTGACTCAAGATCCGAGTGGCTTCACCAGGATAAAGCCATGAGTCTAACTTCATGTTCAACACCTCAATACCTGAACAAAGAGGTATGAAACCAGCATTTTGTACATCCCTTTTAAGCACATTCCAGCCAAATCCATAGACTTGGCACTATGGATTCTTGTGTTTTTTTTTTTTACTTATCCCTAGTATACGTGGTACAGACCATGATAATCATGGTGGGTAGAAGTAGGTGACTGCTTTTACTGTAAGTGCACCACATGTCTACACATGTGAAAAGCAGTTCGACTTTGCACTTACAAATGGGCTTGAGCCCCGTTTGGTTACTTGCACTCGCTGGTGGGGTTGGACTTTTACAAGAATCGGGGGCCATTGGAGCATTTTTTTGAACATAAAAAAGTGACCAATGCGGGAATCGAACATGGGTCGTAGCGGTCGAAAATCAA